TGCCATGGAAACACGACGCTTTCCTGGATGTTTCCAGAGCAACATCAGAAGCAGCGTGGTCGTCGTTGTGGTTGTATTTACCGATATAATTCCTTTGTTTTTCGTTAGCAGAGTTAGATCGATCTTATTGAAGGTAAGAGAAAGGAGAGAAAATGCAAAATAAGGGCAAGATCCCATATCCTGTTTGCATGAGTGTAGTTGTTGCAATTTGTTTTGCAGGCTTACTTAGATGTCCTTATATAGCTGTAGAAATAGATCTCCCTTGATTTATGATGTAAAATTTACCAGTTTACAGGAATATTCTGTCATTCAACTGAGAAATAGTAATTACTGATGATTAAGAATTGTCATTTGACATCATAGTTAGCAGGCCATAGATTCGTTGTTTCATTTTTGTCAGTTTTCATGATTTTGCAATTGTAATGGTAATTATCCAAAATCAGAATGTATGAAACCACTGTTGGATGGAAATTAGTTAACCATTACTATAGGTCGCAGCATCTCTTAACCCCTTGGATCCAGATGCTAAAATCCAGGAATTGGGCCTACCTAAGTGGCGACTCCGGATGTGTGGTTTGTAGGCCCACCTCACATAAACATTTATGTGCATTATCAAGACTCTTTGCTTCCCATTTGCAATGTTGTTCTCAGTTTTACTGCATAAGATTTATTTTTCCTTTCTCTAAGGTCTATATTTGTCATTTCATATGATGTAATGATAATAGACTGTTTTTCTTGAGCAGAATCATTATCATATCTCTTAGTCATCTAGAACTCTGTGAAGCAACAATAACAATGAGTAATAGTTTGTTATTTGTGTTATTTTAAGATATTTCATATTCAGTTTTCTGTAACTCACCTGGTACTGCTGGTCATGGTGGTCAAGAAAAGGAGCCTGAGAATGGAAATATTAGTGTCCTCCTTGGAGCCAGTGCTCTTCAGGACATGGTGCATGGATGACATGTTTCACCCTTATTTATCTGTGGAAATAATGCAAGAGCCCCTTCTGAAATGCCCACTGAATCTAATCTTCCCCCTAAGAGTTTTTTACACTCATGTTAAGTCGTTCACCTCAGCCTTCAGCCGAAGTTTTCACGATGGAATGTTCCTGTAACCTAGCCCTTGGTCAAAGGTTTTTCATGATGCAATGGTCACATCACCTGGATTCAATGGGTTAATGCATACTTCAGTAGACAATTGTGTGCTCATCAGATTTTCTATACTTAACAGTTGTAGTTTTATGTGTTCTTGACGACCATTATATAAGTTTTGTTTTATCTCCATGGAGTCTCTTCTGGATTATTCTTGATATTTACTATTTATCATTTCTGGTTGTGGAAAAATATAATGTTTTGCATGTACATTAGGCTCTTCTGTCATTACTATACTTGATATTACTTACTCTAATATTTCCAAAATTGTTGAAGTATTGCATGCTACCAAAAAAGAGTAGTAAACATAGTTTCACACGGCCATCATCATACAAAATTCAGGTGTATGGGAATGATTGATTGATGGATTTCAAAATACTTCACACTAGCAGCAGAATATAAGGAGACATACGATTCTTTCTCCTTGAATTTTCTGGGAAGATAGTTTGGACTAATTCTTATTTGGTATAAATTACCAGGAGATAATCAGTAATTTGTAATTCAAAAAGTTAACCAACACATCTGATAACTCCATTACAGCAATGAACTGTATTTAGATTTCCATTTTTTTATTACTTGTCTTTGAACACATGAGCACATTGAAACCTGTTCTGATTGGCTTTTTTTTTGTAAGGAGATATACAATCCCTTCTCATTTATTTGCTAAATGACTTCCTTATTTTCTGTTTCAATAGCAAGGTCATAAAGGAAAAGATGTTATAATTATAAAAGTAAACTATAAACACCAATAAAATTACTGCTACTACTAGTGTTTTCCGATGATTTCAGAGTAGTCTTCAGTTTGCTTTCCAGTAATGTAATATTGTGCCCAGGGATGAAAATACATATATACAAATAGTTTTGCATGTATTCAGGCAAATTGCTGATTTTGTTAAGGATTAGTGTAGCCACATATGAAGTAAATTGTGTTGGATATGCTGTGTAGATAATGATTCAGTAAAGGTTATTGATTTAGTTGATTCGGTTAATGTTTTAAAAAGTATATCATGTTTATTGATAAATTAGAAAAGCTTGCTGTGTATTTGCATATATTGCTCTTTTTTTTTTCTTTCTTTTTATTATTATTATCTTATTATTTCATCTTGAATAGTAATATTCATCTCATGCATGTGGAGATAGATTATACTTTGAAATAATTAATTACAAAGAAAGCGTTTTTTGTAACGTCATTTCCCATTCTCTTATGTCTGACTATTATTCTACGGCAGGCATAGGAGTGTCCATCATGGTTGTTCTCCATGTCAAGCGAGGTGATGAAAGCCAGTTTCTTCTTGAAACTACTGTGCAGTCACCAATCGAAGATGTTGTCAACAGAATTGTGATGATACATAATGGCAGGCTTAAAGTGTATAGAATTTGCAGTGGTAAGCATACATAAATAAGTAAGTTTATATATAACTGTATATAAGTGTGTGTGTGTGTGTGTGTGTCTGTCTGTCTGTCTGTCTGTCTGTCTGTCTGTGTGACAGACACACAAACACACACACACACACACACACACACACACACACACACACACACACACACACACACACACACACACACACCACACACACACACACACACACACACACAGATTAACAACAATGATATGCAGTATATATAGATGTAACTCTTGTACTATAAAAGAGAATATTCCTGTGTACATAAATTTAAATGGTAACTGATCATGAAACATATCTTTCAGCAATGGAAATGCTTGCCGAACATGGAATATCTTTACCACCCGAAATGCATGGTCTCACCGATGATCAGATCGCAGAACTCAAGCTGAAGGACGAGTTTTCAGAGACGTGTGCTCCAAGTGGAGGTTTCAGTGAAAATAGGTATGTTTGCGACAAGTGTAATTAATTCACAATTTGTCATATTTGTAGGGCCTAATGTTGGTGACTATTGTTTATGTGTATTTTTTAAAGTGAAACATTAGTATAATTAGGAAGAAAAATTTATGAAATTGATATGGACACAGAAGTTTTGATTTTCATAATGTACAGTTACTCTTTACTATACTTTAAACCCAAAACAATTAAGATTTAATTAGTACATGTTGTTGCTATTGGCCAGTAGGTTCATGAAAGTATGAGTAACTGAAAAGTAGCATTTTCATGTGTGTGTGTGTGTGTGTGTGCATTTGTTTCTTTGTTTGTTTGTATGTGTTTGTGTTTTACACAATAATAGTCATTTGTTTTTCATTATTGTATTTGGTTTATCTAAATGCTCATATTTATAGATATGAAAGATTATGATGATTTGATATTCATATAGTATCAAGAACAGGAGGAATGCAAAGTTAGTATCATTTTTCTTTCTATTGTTAACCATTTCCATATCAGATTACTTTGATACTCTGTAGCTCTTCTTTTTCCCCATTTAATTTTACATCTAATCATTATTCTAACAGAGATCCATGTGGAAGGAGGAATGGGTGTCGGCCGACAGAAAAAATGCAAGAGGTGTTGCAGAAGACCATTGCAGAAGCTAAGGGTATAATTTCAAAAGTAAGTGTGTCCTGTTTTAGTTGCATTATCATTATTTTTTTTAATAGCAGTTGTCACAAGTCATTTAGAAACAATGGGACAACATTCCATGCTTCATATAGAAATGTATCTTTATTAACTCATAATTAACCCAGTAATTGTTTTATGCAGGATAAGTCAGGGGTCACAGTGATTTACAGTATTTATTGTAAGGAGATCAGTTATATATAATGCTTGCCTGGACAATTTATCTTAGGTAGCAGAAAAAATAGCTTACTGAATTTTTTTGTAATTTATTGTGAACTTTGAGGATTACCTTTTATCTGTCAAATGATATTACTATTCATGTTCATAAATTTACAGATTTTGAAGAAAACATATAAAGACATTAATAGTACCACAATATGTAATGAGTTTTCAAATAATTCTAATTCTCTTATCTGATAGAAAGTTTACATACACTGTCCTGTTTTTGTAACACAGTGCAACCTTCATTTCAGGAGTTAGTCAAGAGCAACACATGCCTCACAGAACAGCACATATGCGATGCTATTGACATTCTGAGAGGAGCCATCATGATCGCCTACCCGATGAACCTACCTCCATACGACCCTATTAGAGAGGAGTTTGAGAATCGTGAAGAGTTGAAAGGGACCCAAGATCATAAGATGGTGGGGATCAAAAGTTAATTTGAGATTGACTGATATTTTATTAAAGGTTGCTAATTTTAGATTCCTGTCATTTGTAAAAACAGCTCTATATAGGTCTGTACTAGTATCCTCTGAATATGATACATGATTGTTGATTGTGTTGCCATATTTTTCCAGATACTAAAGTCAGTCTCAGGCAGTGAGTGGTTAAAAGGGTGAGAGGCTAAGAAGCTAAGAGGTATAAAGAGAAAATGAGAGATTTGATTTCATTTAATAGAATTTATTTACAGAACAGTGTATATGCCTAACAGAAAGCTTAGGTAAGATGCCAAATCAATCCAAACTGGCTATGTTTCCATTTATGTAGAGGGTTGTCAGTCAGACTTCAATTCTCTATGCCTGAAGGGCTGTGCCATTGTGCTTACAATTTCACATATTATCCTGTCACTAAGAAGCCTTTTGTATCACTTATCATATGAGAGGCAAGACCAGTGTCTATAGAATAAATACAATCAGCAGGTGGTATTCTGAGGACATTCTTATTTTATCAGTAGGATGCTTTTTGTGTAGCTAAGTGATAGATTGTTTATATATATATATATATATATATATATATATATATATATATATATATATATATATATATATATATATATATATATATATATATACCTAGGCTTTGCAAAAATGATCTAGCAGTGAAAGTAGATATTTACATTTAGAAATATTTTCATGCATATGTTCTACCACAGATCTTCCATATTGATTGTTATTTAGGTTACAGACACACATCAGAATATCATTTTTGACCTTTTAATTTTTCAATCAATGTTGTCTACATTACGTTCTGCAGATATGCTTATCTTTATTCTATATCATATATATTGTATATATCAACATAAATTTTCTTTCATTTTGTAAGGTTCTAGATGCACCAGTAACACAACTTTGGTTTGCTGGGAAGGAAATGCTGTGCGGGAAAAAACTACTGGACTACGTTGGCAAAAATGAAAAATCGAAGGTAAGAGAGATTCCCTTTGTTGTGACAGAGGTCGAAGAGTGAAAGAGAATCTATAATTTCACAGTGCAAGATATGTAATGTGTGTTTCTGTGTTTGATTTTCAGTGCTTATATCATTTTAAATATATTAATTAAAAATGCTAATTATGTATCTTGCATTTCTTTCTTATTTTGTTGCTGGTAATGGTCATTCTTTGGTTTTATTATTATTTTTTTAATGTTCTGAGCTCCAATGCACAGGTATTTGTAAGAGTTATACATGTCAAGCCACTAAAAGGGAAATGGCTCCTTTAAACGTTTTTTTGCGGTAAACAAATATTACAGCATATCAGTTTGCAACTTGATATGTTTATTGCTTATGTCTATATTACACTTATTAACTAAATCCTGATATGAATTTATATTGTACTTCATTATCTGTCTGTCCTGCACATCAAAAAATCTTCATCTTATTCTGAAGAATTACATATTTTTTTATATTATGAAGTTCATGTTACTCTTTCTTTTTCTTGAGTTTCTATGTTTAAGTAATAGAAATGTATATTTTTTATTACTTTTTTAATGCCCTATTTTTTTTTTTTTTTTTTTTGTAATACAAGGCTAAGAAATTCCACTTCTAAAATTAAATATCGGGTATAGTATTAAATTTGCAGGAATATTTTGAAAAGTATACTGGTAGGTATTTAAATTCTTGCAATTAGAATTTAAAAATGTACTTTAATTTATACTCAAGTTAGATGCATGTCATTCTATTAACTTTAGATAAAATTTCTTTTAAAAATTGTAAAGAGTATCCTCATTAAGTGGCATGTAAAACAAATCACAAATGTAATCAGTGAAAATATTCCAGGTGATTGTAAAGATTCAGCGCCGAGGTCAAGGGGCACCTAGCAGGGAGCCCCTTCTGTCAGAGGAAGAGCGCAAGAAACTCATGATGGCTGAATTCCACAGACGAGAACAATTGAAGGTATTTATAGATTTTCATCTTTATTAGTTATTATCATTCATCATTCTTCTTATAAGTATTCCTCCTCAGAAACATAATACTGCCTCCTAAGGCAGTATTATGTTTCTGATTCTTTTTGAAGTCTTTGGAATTTAATGTATCTGTATGTACTTTAAGGTATGGAAAAAAGAATGTCTGGACTTCTGTGAAATGCTTCTACATTGATTATACTTTAAAACAATAAGATCCAGTCAGTATATTGATGTAAAAACAAGTTTAGAAATAATAGTCAGTTGCAAACAGAAAAAATTATTGTAATTTCCATGACAGTACATATCCATGGGTAATAATATGGCCACCTTTGTGGTAAGTACCTGAATGGGCAAATTCATCAAGTAAGTCTACGACTGTTGTCCACTCAGCGAAGTTGATGAATAGCTGGACACAATTGGTAGTGTTATCAGTAGTTAATGAAGTTTGATTTGACTATTAACAAATGTAATGGTTAATGGTTACAAAGCAAAATAAGTGTGTTAGACATCAAAGTTCATATTGCATTACTGAAAGGTGTAACAGTGATATGGGTCAAGATGGGGCTAGTTAATGAAATTTGATTTGATTATTAACAAAAGTAATGGTTAATGGCTTACACACATTACATTCCACATTTGTTTATCGATGAGAATAATGCAAAAGCCTCCTTCTAAACACCAAATGAATCTAATCACACACACACAGAGGTTTATGCACTCATGGGAACCCTCAACAGTCCAGCCCTCGGGATCTCCTAGAGGGGTATGGGCTACACAAATAAACAAGGGAATACTGTGTCCATGGCACCCCAAGGTCATTAATGACTAACACAGAGTCAAGTCTTTCTACACAGCTCTCACACCTTAGGAAGTGGAGAGTAGAAAGGGTTATAGAATAGAAGGAAACGGAAAGGAAAGATGGTAAGTCAAGTCGAGGTTAAGGCCCAAGGTTGGAGAGTGCCAGCATTAGGTTCTAGTCTCCATCTCTTAACCCATCCGTCCCGGGTGTCACATATATGAGACACAAGGAAAAAATAAACAGTTTCGGGCTGCCCGCCAGTGCGATGCTGTCTCGGAGCCGTGCTCCGCGGCAAAAGCGGCGGGCGGCCGGGCGGGCGGACAGACTCCGGGGAAGCTCCGCCCGCCGATTTTGTAGCTTCCCGGATTTTTTTAATTTTGGCTACAAAATGTACCCGGCGCGGGTGGGTTAATATAAAAATTAAAAAAAATCATGTAATGCTGTCTAGTTTTATTTGTATTTTGCACCGAATAATAATAGATTCTCCCTTGGCAGAAATTGGATGAGGAGGATGACGACTCATACCTCAATTCTCCCTGGGCAGACAATCGGCAACTCCAGAAGTCGTTCCAAGGATTGGCCAACATCTCTTGGAAGCCACACTGACCCTTGTTATATATTTTGGGTACATGGTACTTTGTTTTAATTTGTATGCTCTTGCATATGATCTGTCATTTATAAAGGTATATTTGAAAATTACTTTCTATTGACTAGAATAATTTAGCTCATAAATGTATTTAGAAGTTGCAACAGAAATATTGTCTAGTGCTGTTATTCACTGAATATGCAGTCTTAATTAAAATATTTATTCTTTTTATGCATTAAACTAAAGAGGAGACATTTGACTATTAATACAATCCTCATTTTTATTTCTCTCAATAGCCTGCTGTATTTTATTTCTTTATTATTATTATTCCCATTTAATTTTTAACAATTTGTATAGTCTATTAGAACATAGAAAATGGATAGTACTGAAGAATTAACCCATTTATGACGGGTGTCCCACATATGAGATGCCGGAAAAATAAACGTTGCCGTCATCCTGCCAGTGTGACATTTGGATCGGAGCTTGCACTCCAATTCTGTCGCACCAATTTTGAAGCCGCCTGGACACTATTACTTTTGGCTTCAAAATATACCGGTGCTAGTGGGGTTAAATACTTTCAACTTCTTCCTTTGTATTAATGCACTGCTAAAGAAATGCTAAAATGTACTTGGCATGTTCTCTGTTATGTTAATAATCTGATATTTAAACAAAGGGTACAATATCCACACACAGCTTGGAAAAATCTTTTATTTATCCACAATTAATTAACAAATCCATATATATCATGGTTCCAAAACTAATGGATCATTTTGTTCCCATTTTGTTAAAGAATATAAATTATCTATCTTTATAAAATGCTAACCTATGAAAATTGCATTGATAAACTCTGTGTCTATGCATGAATTACTTTAAACAAGTAAAAAGATAGGGATCTTTCTGCCATATTTACAGTACTATACATTGTTTCAAAGTCTCATGCAAGGCACAGAAAAAAAACAGCATACTACACTGTTTTTGAGTTGGGTTTACCTTTATTACATATAAATATTTAGCAATCATTTAGAGAGGTCGGTAACTGGGCTACATGTAAAGTAGCGTAAGCAATAACATGATTTTATACTTGGCTTGTATCTACAAAAATTGTGTTCTTCGATTCCGTTTCATGAAAAACCCAACTATCACCGGTTTCAAGCTGGTGCATTAACCACCAAGCATGCCTAAATCTGACATGATTTTTAAGGCTGGTATGAAAAAGGACACGGAAATATTGGAAAAAAAAAAAAGTCTTAAATAAGAACACACGTTTAAAATTGATCATTATGACCATTCTTACTATGACATAGATAAGACACTTGAAGGATGAAACTGGCAATAATAACTGACTTATTCTGTAAATCTTCAAATGGGTATCATTGGTATACAAATTATGAAGATAAGATATTACTTGTAGAATTTCTTGGACGAATCAGCAGCATGATCAAGCAACAACTGGCAGGGCTTAAAGTTCTCGCCATAGACAGCTGCGTATTCTTGCATCTTGGCCACCAACTTGTCAGCTCCATAGTTGTCCACAAACCGGAAAGGTCCGCCAGTAAATGGAGGGAAGCCAAGGCCAAACACAGCACCAATATCTCCTTCAAGCTAGAAAAAAAATATTGATTTTTCAGTACAATAACTGCTGGTGCATTTATATGATAACTCATTGTAAGATTTCATTGCTATTCTGAATATACACAAAGTTTAATTTTTAATAATTCTTACAGGACTATTCAGAATGCCTTCCTGCAAGCACAACAAAGCTTCGTTGGCAAATCTGCTGGCAAGACGCAGCTGGATGTCAGCATCAGTCATAGGGCCCTGAAAGTCCATAATGGAAATGTTCAGAAATGTGATTGACAGACATTTATTCCAAAACAGATGTAAAATATTAGTTTTAAGTCAAGAAAACATGTAGTACAATGTCTTTCTTTAACACCCTACAGTCTTCAAGGATCATGAAGACCACTGCATATCAAGTATAACACTGGTGGTAAACAGAGCAAAATAAAGAGAGAAATACGTAAAAAGTTTTACCTTAGGAGTAACCGAATACTTCTTCAAAATTTCCAGTGCACCCTCATTAACATTTCGTTCCTTGACACCTGCTTCATATACATAAATACCCTTGCCAGATTTGCGACCTATAAGCAAGGGGAAAATATTAAGTACTAGATATGAAATTACTCCACAAAGTTTATAGTAAGCAAAACATTCAACTACTTTTTAGAGACAAGGTACTGATACATCAAAACAATTTTGTTTTTAAGCTGCATGAAAATAAACTGGGTGGACTGACCTAGGAAGCCAGCAGCAACAAGATCCTTCAGGACATTTACATCGCCACCACCAATGCGGGATCCAAGGGCCTTGCCGAGATCTTCTCCAACGTGCATAGCCACATCAATACCTGTAACAAAAGCCTCCTGTAACTAGAGTTCATATTTATAAATATTCAACTTTTTCCTTAATCATTAGTGCCCATCAAATACTCTATAAAATACACTTGTACCTACAAGTACTGACCACTGGGTCAAGATTGATCTATTAAAAAAAAAAAAAGTTAAGTGGTAAACTAAAAGGATCTTACCGACTTCATCAGCCAGAGTTGCAGTTCCTACAGGCCACCCAAAGGACCTCGAAAGTTTATCCATCCTCTTGGGCTCAACACCTTCCTGGAACAGCCTCACACTCTCTCCCAGCATGGGACCCAAGATCCTAGTGGTGTAAAATCCTGGCCCATCCTTAACCACAATCACAACCTACAAAGAAAAAAATCTAATTACTTTCCTGATATATGCGTGCTTGTGTACATATCCACCCCCCCTCCCCTTTTTTGGGGACAAAAATGAGAATAAAGAAAATCTTCTGAAGGAAGAAAGTGAGATATACCTTGCCCTGCTTGAGACCAACATCCACAGCAGAGGCAGCAGTGTCTTTGGAGGTCTGGTCAGTTGTGATGATTTCCAGGAGCTGCATCTTATCCACTGGGAGAAGTAATGCATTCCAACCACCTGCCAAACAATAAATAACATGTTGCATTAGATCTATTTGGATTATCTTGGTTTGACTGCATTCTTGAAATGGACTTATATTCAAAGTTTTTACCATGAAAAGATAAAAGACAAATTTTAAACATTCAAATATCTGCTGATATTTGAAATCAATTTTAGAAAACTATTTCACATTATACCTTCTCTGGCCTTGCACTTGCTTTGGCAATCTGACCAATTGGCAAAGCAGATGTGTTTGAGGCAAAGATGCAATGCTCAGGAAGATGTGGCTCAACTTCCTTGATTACACGATGTTTCAAAGCCAAGTCTTCAAATACAGCCTCAATCACCATGTCACAGCTCTTGAAGCTGCTGTAATCAATGGTTGGTTCCAAGTTGGACATATACTGGTCTGCAACAAAGGTAGTGATCTTCTTGCGCTTTGCAGCCTTGTCTAGTCCTCCTTGTATCTGGTTGACGCCTCTTGCAAGTCCAGCATGATTCATGTCCTTCAAGATTGTGCGGTAACCCTTGTCAATGGACACTTGAGCAATACCAGCTCCCATGAGTCCAGCACCCAGGATGGCCAGAGTCTTTGCTGGTTTCTCTGGCTTGCCAAACCTGTTTTTCTTACACTCTGTCTGACCATGGAAAAGACCAACAAGGCCCCTTGATTCACTTGTCATGGCCAATTCTCCAAAACCTTTGCATTCAGCTTCATAGCCAGCCTTGCTACCCTTGTCTAATCCAGTGCGGATAACATCAAGGATTCTCAGGGGTGCTGGGTAGAGTCCATTTGTCTGCTTAATGACCTGACCACGAGCCTTCTTGAATACCTGGTCCTTGATGAAGTCATACTGCAGAGCCGTTCCCATTGCCTTTTCCATGAAGTTCTTGGACCACGCTTAGCCTTCAGATCACCACTTGCAAGATCCTTGGCAGTCTTTATAGCTACTTCCTCAAGGTAAGCAAGGGTCCTTAAATCAGGCTGCTGAAGGCCTGGTCCAAGAGGATTTACAAGCCCATCAACCAGACCCATCTTCTTGGCCTTGTCAGCCTTCACAGTCTTTCCAGTCAAGCTCATATCCAGAGCACCAGGAACACCAACCAGCTTGTGAAGGCGTTGGGTTCCTCCTCCACCTGGGAGTACTCCCAACATAACTTCAGGGAGTCCAAGTCCGGCCTTGTCCTTCACAGCCAGCCGGTAGTGGCAAGACAAAGCAACTTCCAGACCACCGCCAAGGCAGGAACCCATGATTGCCGCAACAACTGGCTTCTTGCTCTTCTCAATGCGGAAGAGGATATCTTGGCAGGACTTTGAGAGAGCCTGGGCTTCCTCAGCTGTCTTGCAGCTTTCAATCATTGTAATATCAGCACCAGCAATAAAACATCCAGGTTTACCAGATATTAGCACAGCAGCCTGGATATCACTATTGGTCTCAATTTCATCAACAATCTTCACAATTTCCTCCATGACTGGCTGGTTCAGCACATTCACCTTCCCAGGAGAATCGAAGGTGACAACACCAACCCCATCGTTTATCTTGAGGTTAGCGTGGACACCCATGGCAGCTCTTGTTGTTGAAAGCAGCCGGCTACTTTGGCGAGATGCTGAAAAAATAAGTGACAATTTAGTCCTCGGGGAAATAAACAAAAAGTATAAACTAAATTGTAATTAGTCAGTAGAACTCAAAATACAATACCCATACAACATTTACATTAAAGGCCCTAGAGATAGTTCTGTTTTATGAATAGAAGTTGTCAAAGATATGAAATATGTTAATGTTCCTCAGTCAATTTTCTCCTGGCATTAAAAATTTAAGAGCTGGTGAAAAAAAAATACATTATCAATAATCCCTTCCTAGCCATACAAGGAAAATATGCCATGCCCTCCCCGGATGTCAGCTGTACTATTTGGACCAAAGTCAGAGCTGCCTTAGGCTTCCTTTTTGGCATCTCTCCTGGGACTCTTCTTTTTGGCCCTTCCTACAAAAAAACACTAATGCATGAAATCAAGTCTCCTAGTCTCTCTTTGCAATGCCCTTTTACGGTAGATATAATTTTGCAGTTCTGTCGTTTTCCTAGGTCTATATTTCCTCTCTTATGATGTATTAAGATAAAATGACTCTTGAGAAAACTATATTCTCTCTCCTGGCAGTTAACACTGAGAAATGACTGGCAATAATCAGTCATTTATTTATTTATCATTATTTTTTTACATATTTTATTCAATTTTTCAAGCAAACACGTTAATCAGAATAGAA